TTTTTATTTTCCCATTATTCACCACTTAAAATTACAAAATAAATAAAAAATCTGATATATTTTAAACTCTTTTATTAAATCAATAAATACAGTGATATATACTTAATAATAAAAAATTATAGATAATACAATTAATTTAATAATGGTTATTGGACACCTGTCCTACACAAACTAATGAATAATTAATCACGTGGTGCAATTAAATTGGCTTCCAGAAGCTCTCGATGATGCTGTTCATTTCATTTACGTGATTGGAATTTCCCGCTTCTTGGGAGGCCATTAAAAGCCTAAGTCGATCCACCTGTTCGTTGGGATCGTTCCAGTACACGTAGTCGATAGCGTTATCTGTGACATTCATCATTAGCTTACTGCTGCCGCCACCACGATGTTGGTGTCTTTGAAGAATCGGCTTTGACATATTTATATTTGCAGCTATTTCCGCTTCTTAAACAACAATTCAAAGAGGGCCCTCGTTCCCTCATATTCGCTGTCCTTTATTAGCACATTATCGTCAACGAATTGGGCTTTAGAATCTCCGATGTAGAAGTCATCTTCGTCGATCGTCAAAATTGGATTCTTCGATGCCACCGTCCCTCTCGGTGGGGTCGGGATCCATATAGTTATCGCTATCGGCATTACTCGTTGTTTCTTCTATCTCACTCTTTGGTTCGGGCTTCTTTATCTTTTGTTTTATGACTGGTAAGGTTGACAGCGGTGACTGAGTAGGGATTACACAGTTATGCTCTTCTCCTACGTTTGTTGTATGTATTTGTTCTTTTGTCTGCTGATTATGGGTATACATGTGACACTTTAAACTATTCCCTCTTGTAAATTGCCTATCACATACGTTACAAACAAATTTTTTTGATTTGTGAACATTCATATGTCGACTTAGGTTGTTTAACAGCGAGAATGTTTTACCACAAACTTTACATGTGTTCATTTTGACTCTATGACGTCAAATGATGTTCACAATGAAGAGTAGCTACATATATACATGGATGACAAATGATAAGGAAAAACAAGAGCAATGAATGCAGCTGTGGATAGTAATGTAGATTTGTGGATAGTAATGTGGATAGTAATGTAGATTTGTGGATAGTAAAGTGGATAGTAATGTAGATTTGTGGATAGTAATGTGGA